CCAGTGGGTGGCTTTGCCAAGTTTCAGCATCTCCTTATCGCTGTTTATCCCTTTCTCTCCAAGAAAAAGGCATTACCACGTAATGCAGAACTAACTTTTCAGTCTGTGAATAAAATTCGAAGGTGTGACCATTGAAATAAGCATTGCTAATTACTTTCAACTTTCCCAGATGATAATTTGGGAAAATTTGTACAATCTCTGGGTTGGCCGATATTTGTGGAATAGGACTATAAGTGCTTTGCGGCTGTTATACACACCTTGTGTTTGGTCCATACAGCTGGCGCTGCAGTACGGAAGTGGGGGGAGGAAATTTCAGGGAAATCCAATACTGATGGGAAACAGTCGGAACAAATGAGACCATCATGAGAGCGAGCCGACAACGTGGGAAATTTATTTGTATACATGACCAGAACAGTGAGATAACACGGCGTGAGATTTGCGATAAAACTACAACTTATGCAATATTGCACTGATATGCTGTTAAGTTAGCGCTCGGCAAAAACGCAACCCAAAATTGTCAGGGTATAGAGACTGTTCTGATGCATATTAACCTTTTTTTCAATGAACAATGCAGCTTCAGAACGAGTAGCTTATTAACGGGTCTATTAGGGACGAGTATACAAAAAATCTAAGAACACTGTGACAACGAACGAACGATGAAATAAACCTTCAAAAGAAGCTTTGAGAATTTTTCTGAATGATCTTCTACGTGAAATTTTCGATTTTTTCGATTTCGATTTTTCTCTCAGCTATTCTGAAGCCTGAGAAAGGGCGGAATCTCTCGCAAAGTCGTAAAACTAATATTATATTATTCAACGTCGGAAAAATTCATTGAGGATGCAAGGAATCAATGTTTTAAAAGGCAAAATTTGTCAAGATTTGACATCCGTCCTTCATCCGTACCGAGACGGTCTCTTTGAAAAAATTACAACTCGCGCGCCGACACGAAAGGTCACTGATAATGCTTGTTTGGCCTTCAAATTATAACAGATAAGAGAGTTCATTTAAGTCTCATTAATAAGGTTTGTATTACGCAAGATAAGCGCCTGAGAGGGAAACGTCATTTCACTTTAGCGCTTCGTGAAATTCGTGACACCGCACGTTCTAGTATATCGTTCATTGCATGACGTAACATCTCCCAGCACGACTGTCGATCAGCTACGTGACCTCTGTAATTGATTCCTTTGTGTTGTTCACTCGTGCGACCCCGCAATCTGATCGGCATAAAAGGACTCGTTCACGCACTTTACTCGCAGATGAGTACTGTTCCTCGAGGTGTCAATTAGTTGAGAAGCTGATCATAGCGCGGTACGGAGCAAATTTGACAACAGCTTTCACGGTATTTGTACTACAGCATCATGCAAGATTTAGCCATGGCCGCCTCGCCCGATGGATCACCGCTCCAGAAGAAACGAAAAAGGCTGAGTCGACGAGTGCCAATCGATATGGTGGTACAGCTTCAAATCGCGGCGGCGGATCAACCCAAAGACAGAGAAGCGTTGAAAAAGCGACTGAGAAAGCAAATCACATGCTGTGAAATCAATGAGATTACCACGTCAGGACTCACGGCACTAAACCAATGCGTTTTGGACGGAAATTTGGAGAGCGCCAAAATGCTCGTTGAACTAGGAGCGAATGTTAACAAAAAAGACAGGTTTGGCTGGACACCGCTGCACTACGCCGCCAGCGAAGGTTACGAGGAAATTTGCCGTTTTCTTTTACGCTGCGGCGCAAATGTCAGAGCTGAGGACAAAGAGGGAAAGTTTCCCGTTGAAGTTACAGACGATGAAAGTATTCTAAGGATGTTGCTTAGAGCGACTTTGCTTTACAACATGCCTCCGTTAGATAAGGACTCTTTACAGCATAGTTGCTGATGCGCGCGGATAGCTTAGGAACAGAAGGGCTTTAGCTGAAGTAATAACAAGATGAAGATTGCGAGGAGATTTGGACAGAGTTGCATGCTGAAAGTCTACGAAAGAGGCAGAGATCGACAGAGAACTTGCGCTTATCTGAGAGGGTAACACTGCGGATGTACTGAAAAACGAAATCGCCAAGCGATGCGTTTATTAGAACATGCTCGACTTGACAGTTTCCGTCATTCTCCAAATGAAAGACTTCTGCAAAGCATTCGTTCTCAAGGACACATCAAGAGTTCGAAAATGTGTAAATATTGTTTTTGTACTTGTAAGATAAGAGACCTTAAGAAAGTACATATGGAAGCCAAATGTAACTTGTTATCTAGCAATGCCATCACGTCTTGCCAATTTGCCATGATAAAATTTACATTTGTTACGGCAATTTTCATTTAAAGTTAATTAGCACATTACTGTTGAAAAGTTGGACAAGATTTGGTCTGTGAAATAAAATATACTAGAAAAGGAGCGCGTAGATTTTTCTTAGATTTCAAACGGGTGGCCAATTTTCTGCTGTATAAGGGAAATGGGTATAGTTCCTGTTTAGCCATCTGTTTGTTATCGAGTAAGATCAACCACCCATGTGTATGTATAAACAAGAAAAGAGCAAACGAAACCTAATCGTTTCAACCCTCAATTGAATTAACAGTCTGAAGGCCTCTGCAAAAGATATCTTCTTTCACTTTGACAAAGAAATTCTTATCTTCTAAACCATTAACGTTGTTGTTTTAACCACGATATGGAGGGTTGCGAAAATTGAACAATTATTCTTGCGTGTCATGCTTTTGCAGCTGTGAGTAAATATAAGCAGGAAGCTCCCAACAGGAGTAAGATTTCCTCTGTTTCGTGTTTTTGAATGGGTTACGCAGCACGATTAAACAAAGCAAGCGGGTTTTCAACAGCGAACCCCACAGCGCGCGGATAATTTGGTGTTTATAAAAGGTTTCTTTAGTTTTTACTCGATAGTTTTGTAATCAACCTACCGAGGCAATATTTCCCAAGCCATAACAAAGAGTTATAAAGCAGACATTTGCTTATTGTTATCATATTAGAATACAAAATTAATCTTATTGTTTTGGGTGCGATTTCGCCCTAACCCCTTTCTTTATAAAGCCGATTTTTCCATTTCCTTTTTCATCATGGTAATTGGTTTACGAAACTTTCAAAATGCGAGCCACCGTAATCGAACGAGATTTCTTGGTAATCTCCAATATAGTTTTACTTAATTTACTTCGTCATTTTAAGCATTTAGAATTCAAATTACGTCCTTGTGACGTCTCCTGTTGGCCCGATAGCCGCCCATTGGGTCCGCAAATGTTTTAATGAGTGGTGCAATATCAAACAAAAACAGACTCCGTGAAGGTTTGGAATATGTAGCGTGCCTTCGAGGTCATCGGGGACCAAATTCACTCAGCGGAACAGTACACCAATGTTGTATTTGTTTTTCGGTTTCCTCCGTTCACATGCCTCGCTGGTTTCTGTCTATGCATGGATTAAAACAAACAGTGAAAATAGTTTTACTAAATGTCCTTGAAATGATTCTCGTAAAAAAAACAACTTCCGTGAATGTAAGGGAGAGGTTGAAAAAGCCAATTAAAAGTCAACTGTGGCGGTTTGTACGGCTCTGTAGTCTGAGCTGCTCCAAAATACTTTCAGATATTGCAAGCGGTTTTCAGCTTTTTTAAGAAGAAGAGCTTCTATTTATGGCTCGAAAAATATATAGCAGTTTTATCTTAAAACAAGAGAAAACAAAAAGCAAGCATGGAGGACAGAACACTGAGAAGCAGCAACGGGTCTATGCAGCTTCAGGTTTCGCACGTTAAATTGAAGTGTGAATGAAGATTTAATGGCGGGTGATAAAAGGTTTCCATTCAAATTGTTGCATTTCAAGTAACTGACATTTTTAACGTCCATGGATTCACAAGTGAAAAAAAAACACTGAACATCCCCATCCATCACTCCGTGTTTGGGGCGTATTAACGGATCTGAGAAATCCGATCAGTCAAATTCAGTCACTAGAAATGCTTGTAAGCTCTTTGCATCTGAAATGGCTTTCAAAGCCTTCAGAGTGTACAAGGTCCACCCAATGTAAAATACGAATTAAGAAAAGCTCGCCTGGTCGGCATATTCAACGAAGGAAGGAAGGGATAGAATTGTCGGACATCATCTAAGCTTTCGGTACACAAAGGTTAAATATTTCAGACAGTCAAGTCTGAGGTTTGTGAAAAACAAACAAAATCAGAAGGGAGTCATTTCTGGGAGGCAAACATTCAGACCGAGGTTAGCATATTTAATTAAAACAGGATTACACCATGTTTGCTAAGTGCAAGTAAACTAACATACTTTCATCCACATTGCCGGGAAGCTGGGACACGCTCTTAGATCTTAGAAAACCCCAAAATAAATGGTTTGATTTTGAACACGGTAAATGGCAGGAAAAAATTTATAAAAGGCCAGGACAACTGACGATGATTAAGCCGGCTTCTTTTGAAACTTGCCCGGCGAAAATTGACGTTAATGAATGAATTCCTTTACTCAAGAAAAATTGCATCCATTTAAGAGAAAGAAACATTCAGTTCTGTGTTTTCAACGAGAAAAAAGGTACAATCCGGAGGCCGTTTTCAGTGGGGTTGATTTTTGTTCTTCCAAACATACACACGTGTGACCATACAAAAAAAAAACAAGGCACGGCGCTTTCCAGTTCTAAAGTCAAAACTCGAACTCAATGAAATTTGTGTTTGTGGAAAGTACAGTGCGCAAATAAAGGGGAATGGTTTTCAAGCCAGCAATGGCAACTATCGCGCAAAAACTGGCGTTTTACTGAGGCGTGAAGTTTTTATGCCAGCAGGGATTGAGAAAACATCCCTAAGAAAAATAATTTATTTCATTCAAATCGCCATCTCACAAAAAGGAGGCGATACGTGCATGCAACAGCCGGTTCAGAAGTACAGGAAACAAATATAGCATACAAACAACAGGTAGAGACATGCGGAATTAGGATTTTTCCGCAATTACAGCCACAACAAAAGGAAAGCATCCTATAATGTTTAAGATATACACTCAAAAAAAAAACAATTGATTGCGAACCAATACTACTCAATATAAGTACGCTGTTGAAAGAAACTGACATTCCTGGTCTTTTTACCACGCTTCCTTTCTACGGAAACGCTAGTTCGCTGAACAATATCGTCCATGTTTAACGCCAAAAAATCATGTCGAATGGCACTGGTTTTACTGAATCGGCCTAACGAAACTAAATGTCTATAGTGCAAGCAAACGAGAAGTGGTATTTTCAACAAAGATGAAGAGCAAAACTCCTGTAATACAGGGTTTTATTATTAAACTTCAGTCGGACAATAATTACGCAAAGTGACATTTTACAAGCGCTAATGATCGAATGAAATAATGTCTGTCTGCCGAAAAAGAAACAAATGATAGTTTCGACTGAACAACGATGAAAAGGAAGGAAGAAAGGAAGAAAAGTCCCAGTGTTTAACTGAAGTGTTCAGGGTGTTATTACATGTAAACATCAGTTACGCAATCACGCCAAACGATCGACACTTCAAAACACGCGGGTGCAATACTAAGAAATGTATTTTATCCGGGCGCCAATATCCATAACGGAGACCTAAAAATAAAGTAGTACATTCATCAAATTTGGACAGGATTTTTTTTAAACGACTGTGAATTCAACATCCTAAACAAATGAAGTACGTTCTCCAGATTTGGTCCTCCTACAAACTACTGCAAAAAAACACAGCACATCCGGGAATATCGTATAAGGTTCAATACGGCCTCTGTCGCTTAAAATCTTTATTGTGGGCGTTTTCGGCACAGCTTCAGTGCTGGCAATCGACCCATGCATGGCATGATGTGGGTGATATAAAAAAACTGATAAGTATTTCCCAGTTTATGACCTTTCAATACTCGCCGCGTAAACAACTTTTAAATTCTTTCGTGTACTCAAATCTTGAAAGCAGAATTCCCGAAACGAACTTAGGGGCTTGACTGTAAAATGAAGTTACGACAGTGTGTTACAAAGTCGGGGATAACCCACCAACAAATAGCCCTGTCTAAACACTATTAGCTTCCATCTAGAAGTAGTTTAGTCCCAGTGGAGGGGGCTCCCTGACATTGAACACTGACTAAGTTCTGGTTTTCGATTGGCTCATGTCAGGTTAACCGGTTGTTCGGAAGCCGGTTAACTCTAACCCGGGACTCTAACCCAGTATTAAAAGTTGAAAACAAATGTCTTTCACTGCTTTTGCTTTGTGTACTTTGAGAATATTCAAACTCAGATCAGAAGGCAAAACAATATAGAGAAAACCTCACCGCAAAGTTACAAACTCAAATCAAAATTCTCGTTCATCTTGGTTTAGCTTAATCGGGGCTTTGAACAATCCGCCCCAAGAGCTCCGCTCTTAGGCTTGGCTAAATCTATATATTACTTCATAGCTACTATTATATTAGTACTTTCATTGTGTTTCATATCATTTGTTAAGACTATTTTTTGTCGAGCAATTCAATTTAAAAAGCCCACCAAGAAAGCGTTATGAAAGAAACAAAAAAAAGAGTAGGGTTGGTTATTGAAATCTGACAACGCGTACGGCATGGTGCTTCAAACATTGACTAAACAAAAATTCAAGGCAGAACGGCTTAAAACTTACACGCTAATCAAAAGTTCACATTGATTAAGGGTTATCGCTAACTTGCAAAGTCACAGCTCGATTGCCATCATCGCAAAACGTTAAAAGAATAATTAAGAACCAAATATCTCGGCATACCCGAGACAGAATGGCGCCATGGAACGCGCAATGGCACTCTTGTTTTGTCGCACGTATTTCGTCGTCAAAACATTCCTCGACACGGGTCACTGGAACTCGACAAAGCTAAAGCAGTGTTTTATTACGAAAACAGATAGCATTAAATTATGATTAATGACATAAACAGATGAGCAATGACAATTCTCAAGTGTAGCACTGCCTAGCTGTGTACTATTAAACGATGGCCTTTTTGAATTTTCTACCATATTTTTCGATCGATATTACAGCAAATTTGCTTGCGCGTGTAAATGATAATATTGTTTTGAATCGTATCCTAACCACAAGTTATTTTGGCTACGCGATTTCCGATTATACTCGGACAAAAATGGACTCGACTCAAATAGCTCGATAAAGGATATTGGCTCTGTAGGTCAGCGCTTCACGTGCGCATATAAAACAGGTGTTGGTAAATAGAGTATTGAGCAAGCCGAGGTCTTTTCGAGATTTCTCTCGGTCAAAATAATAATGCGATC